CTCAGAAAAATCCCACCGACCTCGGCTGGGATTGAACCCAGATCCACTGGGGTGAGAAAGCAGTCACGCTTACGACTACACCACCGGCGCCGGCTTAGTGTGACATTCATATTGAGTTGTTTGCCTTAACCTAACACATGTGTACTAGATAAAAGGCTACCGTCTTCGGAAAAGTTGTTCAGGTAGACAAAACCTATCCTGAGGTAATGAATTTAGTTCAGACGACATACACCAGACAGTGCTCGTGTGACATTCATTTGTCATTATTTTTCCTAACTTAGCATAAGGACTAGATAGAAGGTTTCCATCTTGGGTAAAGTTGTTCAGATGGACAAGACCTATTCTAACGTAAATATTTCAGCTAAAAATTCACTAATCAGGGAGTGCTAGTGTGACATTGATTTTGAATTGTTTATCCTCCCTCAGATAGACTAGATAGAAGGTTTCCGTTCGCAGCAAAGTTGTCCAGATGAACAAGATCTATTTTTTGGTAAAAAGCTCTAAAAAGAATTCACTCACCAGGTGGCACTCGTGTGACATTCATATTGAATTGTTTACGCTAACTTAACATCTTGACTAGACAGAAGACGCCCGCCTTCGATGAAGTTGTTCAGATATTATAGACCTATTCGATAGTGAACAGGTTTTCATTTTCATTTTGCAGCGTTTGGTGGGGCAATGGGAGCGCAAGTCAATCCAAAGCCGAGGATAAAGGAATGGTAATGGCTGAATAGTCTATGCGGACCACTTGAACGCCATGGGAAAAGGAAGGGATTGAAGAGGTCGGTTATTGGGGGGTTTTGAGGAAATGAACTAGGTGTCTAGATTTGTGCTGCAAAATGTAAAGAAACTCTAAATCCATCTCCCACTGATTCATCCTTTCACATAAATTCCAAATTGATATTTTAAAGCAACCATCAAAATAAACAGACAATATATGAAAAGGTTAGTTGCCTCCCTAAACGGACCCCCCTCCTTTTTTAATCTTATGTCATTAGGCTATCTAAATTTTCGTTTGATGATTATGATATCTCATTAGACTAATTTAATAAATAATTGAAATCTCTAATCTACCCAATCAACCATAACCCATGCTTTATTAAGTACCTGCACTTGTGCATGCTATCCAAAACTTAACGTGTTTCAAGTTGTTTTTGACTTTGATCTATACTTATTATATATCAGTTCGTCCCAGGTCACGCCTTCAAGTGACTAAAATGCTTCACTTTGAAGTTAGTTTCCTAGCTGATTTTTAACTTACATAGGGTATATGCTCCAACTACGCTCACACGTTTCCACTATGTCGCAATACTTATGGGTATGTCACAATAGAAGCACGTCACAGTAGAAATCCAGAGCCATAGTTCAAACACTTATCCCAAATCAAAATGAAGCACATATAAGATTAGTTACAATACCATGTACACAAATGGTTTTTAACATTGTTCCCTGAGTAATACTTCAATGAAAACAACAAAGAAAGCCCGTCACGCCAGTAGAAGGAGCACCGTTGGACACCCTCTAAAATACCTCAATAGCACAACTCCCGTACGAACCCATCTGTGTAAAAATAAATAAAATAAGAGTGATTTGCGGAAAAACCAGCCAGTATCGCACCCAACGTCAGTGCCTAAGCGTACCACGACGCGGCTCTTAAAAAAAGGAGTAACAGGTGTAATAATATCACTTCAGACTAGAACTTTGGTTCTCTCATGCAATGGTTCATCAGAGAGGGAAAGTTCAGAAATCCTCATCGCATGCTCATGACGCCACTCCGCCACGCCATGAGCCAACGACGCCGAACCTAAACCAACCGTCTTCAATGCTCCACTATGAAGCGTTATATTAGGCCCGCCCACCAACGTCCAGGTTAAAAACTAGCCAAGGGAAGAGCTTCATAATAACCCGGAGCATTTCAATTGAATATCCTACTACACAACAATAAGATTAAATACAATTAGATTGGTCTCACCCGATATTCTTGAAATACTTGAAATTTTGAATGAAACATTGACTTCGTGTTGTTAGTTTTCTTGAAGGTCTTGTTCTTAATGCTTGATTTGTCTTTGGCTTCGTATTTCTAAGAATTTACTCTATAAATAGATAAAAAAAAATACACAACGCTTCCCGCCCACAAGCTGTAGACCAAGTGCAGAATATTTGTGATGATACTTTCCAAACGTGCATACCCATAGAAATATAATCCAATTCAATAAAGGATGGATAAAAAACAGATGATTTCCACTGCGACTAAATCCAGCATTCCTACTAAAATATCAAATGCTGTGCTTAATCATTTATTATTAGTACAGAGCAACAAACAATGTACGGTGATGATTAATCTGTCAATATGCTTTTATATGCGGGTTCAAATGCACTTTTGATAAGCATCAACACTGATCTGGCAACACTAGTGTGCATCTTTCCAAAGTGGTAAAGATCCAGATCAGCCCTGGGACCTGGTAGCCTAGTTAAACTACCTCAAGGTTTTGCCAAAGCCCAGGGTCCTATTCGATAGTGAACAGGTTAACGCAGAATTTACTCATGAGTTCGCACTGTTGCTTCACGTTGTTTCGATTTTTTTTTTGATTTCACTTGACAACTTTGCTTGATAGAAAGTTTCTACTGTCAGCCAAGTTTCTAGGATCATTTAAAACAATTATATGGTAATCATCATAGTTTAAAATTCATACCTCAAGGATCACTGGAGCGTCACATTGCTAAAATGTTTTGCTTTTATTGAATCCATACCAAAAAATTCAAATATATGCGGTAATTATCCAGGAAACAGCAAAATCCCAAATGTTATAAAACTGTGTCAGCCACGCAGCTGGGTCTCGTTTTCTATTATGTACGAAAATGTAGTGTAAATGTAAGAAAAAACAGTTTAGATATGTCGTTACATTTATGTCTCGCTACAGTTTAATTTGTTTTGGATTGTGGTAGGTGCTGATAAAAAAATGTTAAATTTTCAAATGTACTATAGCAAACATAGCATTGGTTAAAGAAAATAATTAAATGTGAATTTCACACTAGCGCCGCCTGTTGAATGAATTCTGAGCTGATGTCTCGACCATATAATAGGTCTTGTTCGTGGAAGCCGTGGCATCTTTCATGATGCTTAATTTCTCGAGTTCCCTGGACATAGAGTATGATTGTACTTAGAAATTGGTGACCGACAATAGTCACACTTACTTTTTTTTAGGCCCGCCAACACACCCCCACACCAAAGAGCTCGCACTGAGAGCCCCCTGGTAGTGGACTTCCCAATTTTTTTTAACGTTGCAAGAGAAAACATAATGATGTATAAATATAACACTACTAATTTTAAACAACAATCATTAACAAAGTTAGGATGTACCCAGTGGAACAAAGTTCCTTTGAAGGGATCCTCAACACATAAACAATTCAATTAATTAATATTTACAATTTAATATCTTAAGCTTAGCGTAAAGAGTGCAAATTTTATTATTATAAATCGATAGTTGACACGAATTTATATCAAGAACACGTTGTTTTTGGATTCATAGTATCGCTTTAAACAAGTTTTGAAAAGTAATCGGTTGTTTAAGTTTTTCAAACATTCCGGAAGTGCATTGTACACAGATGTGAATGCTCTTCAACGTATTAGGTTATTCGCATACCGAATGTTATGATCGTGATTTGTGTTCTGTAAAATGAGGTTACGATGCATGTTGGAATTTTTTAGCGAATCATGTAAACAAACAAGACTGTAACTTGCACAAACCGCGTAACGGGAGAATACTGTGCGAATTATTTTCGTAGAGTTGCAGAGTGGAAAACAATTGTGGAAGGTGATAGATGATTTTCATGCAGCTATTTTGTTTTAGTTTAGCCTTGCAAACATGTCCCCAAACTATGATTAAGTACTGATGAGAATGAATACAGCCATCATAAAAAGTTAGAAGAGCGTTCCTAGGCACAAATTTACTAACATGATACATTAGGCCACATATAGATGATACCTTGCGTTGTACATGTTCTATATGATCCCCTCAAGAGAGTGTAGGGTCTAATACCAAGCCCAAATATTTAAAACTTGATACTTTCTCTATAACGTTAGACCCAATTGACGGACTGTTGCGTGGAGAAATTTTTTCCTCGGTGGGTGGAACACCATATATTTAGTCTTTGATAAGTTTAACGAAAGTAAGTTAGTATCAAAGTATCTCGTGAGTGCCTGTAAATCATCGTTCATGCAGGAAAGGATAGATACACTATCCTGATTTGGGAAAAAAAAGGTGCAGTATCGTCAGCAAATAATTTAGCTATTCCCTTAAGAGGTAAATTTCCTATATCGAGGCCTAGTATTACTACCTTGTTGAAACTCTTTATTTACTGATCGGAGAGTGAAAAGTTTAAAGAGACATAAAAATGATTTCCAGAAACCACCAAAATTTCAGCACCCGGAATGGGAAGAGCAGCAGTTTGTAAGTACATCGAAGTTGTGTCACCCCTTGGCATCAGCTCTGTTCTGAACGACAGACACTTCGGACTAGATTGACTCTATCCATTGTTCGGAACCTTGCTTCGTATCATTAATCACTGACCTTCACCGATTTCCATAGGACAAAAAGCCACATTTGACCACGCGAGAGCCGAAAGTCTCCTTCGAATTGATTATCCCACTAAGTGCCATTTATCCTCGAATAAACCCGGTTAATGGAACGTAAATAAAGCGTTTTTCCCTCCATTCAACAAGCACCCGGACAAATGACCACCCGGAAGATGGAAATCCGGAAATGAATCAAATCTACCGCCGTCACCGCCGAGTAATCCACCACACGAGACCGTATATTTTATCTCAATTGCGAGATTATTTCATCGTTAGGCAGTTTTTACCGTCGTCCAGCTGCGGCACTAGCCGAGGCTGCCGGTCCCCTTGACGCAGCGCCAAATTGTACAATAAAAATAAATATTATATTTTCTCGGAATATTTCAAACCCAAGGTACGAAAGAAGAAAAAAATGTATCCTTACCGTAAGCCGTTTCCTGGGCGAAGAGAAAGAATAGTAAAATATGACACACACATCCGGCCATTATTTTCCACCTTTAGTGCGCCGGGCGTCTTCCTTTCCTGAATGTTTTCGTGGCCTGCGGACAAATTTTCTTTCCACTTCCTACCCTCTCTCCCGCAATCCACCTCACTATCTGACGGCGACCCGAGATCCCCGGAATCTCGGAAGGGGATTTCCGGTTTCAAACTTCGGGCTGCTTTTTCTTCTTATGCTCGTTCTTCTTCGTTTTCAGAAGTGGTTTGCTGTACACCGACTGCCGTTGTGGTTATTGTTATAAAATTTACCCCCTTACTTCCGCTCCTTCACTTCTTCGACACTGACAACTTTTCTCACTTCTGGCAGACGGCCAACACAAACACCCTCATGGATGGCAGCAGAGCAGACAGGTGGGGACGCCTATGATCCCCCGGAGGCTGGTTTCACTATTTACTGAGCTGCTGCTCTCTTGTCTGGGAACGAATCGCTCCTCAGATCACTCGGTGCACACTTCAGCTGCAGGATATATTCCGAAAACCAAACAATCTCACACATCTACACGGGTTACTGCTTTATGATTACGTGTATTACTATTATTGTTATTCCTTTCTCGTGAGTAGAGTGTGGGACTTATATTATTATTTCTCACTGCTGTTTCTTTACGATTGTTTGCACTGCTATCGGTTTATCTAGGTGCGCTGGTTAGTCGGGGGGATCTAGAAAAAATGTGGGACACAATGGCATATTGTTGAATGCACAGCAGCACACAGGTAGATGCATACGGACGAGTGCCGGTGTGTATTCAACAGAAATTGCATTCATAAACCACGATGATGGAGGGAACCATGGGTTCTTTGGATGTTTGGTGGAGCGATGTTGTAGTGTACATCTTGGGCAACATTTTGAACGAATTTTAGGTGTCGTGCTCAAGAGCTGTTTTCATTTTTGGCGAACGTGGAATGATTTCGAACAGTGGAGGACAGTGATGCCAGGTTCGTATGATTGCTCACTTTCAACATCTATTAAATTTTTATGCTGCCGTGTTCTAGCAGAACTATCCATCTAACCTCTTCAGACCTTTCTCTAGCTAATAAAATATCACATGGAGCTTGTTAGATAGCATTTCCAACCAATTTTGAAAAATTCTTAAGTAACTTGTGATTTAATCTGGAATAAACGATCTCTAGGTTTTGGAGCTTCTTGAAGATTCTCGCTATTTCCCGGAATTAACCACTTCATTCGAGCAGCTAAAATGACGGTTACTACCACTTGAACTTTGAAATTAAACATTATTTTGTTATTTTTTTCTTTTAGAATCACGAGAAAAGTAGCCAACATTTGTGCGTTTCATAAAAAATATAAATCAGGTCCAGTTTTGTGAAATCGCTGGTAGAAAGTCACGCCAAAACTGCTTGACAAAGTGGTCAATTTAATGGAACTGCCATAAAATACCGTAAAACGGGGTCAATATGATCTGCGGGGCGTGTTTGATAACTGATGTTTCTCAATATTTATTTTCAAGTGAAATTTTTTTGTTGATTCAGGATGTAATAATGCATCCCAAGTAACAATTCAACAACCATTTGGCATCCACTCTGTTTTATGACGATTTTATAATGGCAATGAATAATCCATTTTGATGAAATATATCATTTCACATCGTAAATGATTCCTGCTTAGTAATTCAGCTTTTTGCTGTTTTAAAAACCTTTTAAAGATTGGCGACAAAGTCAAACATTGTATTGTTTATAAACAAATTTAAAGCAGCTCCCAATCCCTCCAAAAACTGTTTTGTTATTCAATCGTTAACTTCATTAGCATTTTTTTTTATAAATTTCTTGATAAAATATTCTATAAATGTGTTCTATCATTATAAAGGCAAACATTAAATCATTAGCTTTCAAATTAGAGCAAAAAGCATGCATTGCTGCTTTTAAGGATTTTCAAAGTGTATCAAATCCCCAATTACTATGTTTACATAATGAACTTAAAACATGGGTCCTCATAGATAATTTAAGTCAAATTTATGATAAGGAATAATCGAAGGATAGACGAAGTAGGATGATAAATTCAAGCGATGCTAACGACCGAAGGGAAATTAATTTCAGCGAATTTTACTTCTTTAGAAGAACCAGCACGTCCATCAACGACAAAACATCATAAATAAATTCGGCTAAGCTTAATGATCGATCTGAAGATTATTTTTTTCTCAATGTGAAATAATAAGCTAAATCGACGTGTTCAGAGGGTGAATTTATTTTCTTCGAAGTTGTCACGTACATTTCAAATAAGATTTATTGTGCCACCTTAAACTAGGTCACTTTATGAGAACGATTTTAATATTTTTTTTTATTCTTTCTGAATTTTTTGATGTTTTCGAAAAATTCCAGAAGTTTTCGAATCTTTTCTCAATGTTTCACTATTTTTGGAGGTTCTCGGAGGCGAACCAGCCTAAGGCTGAAAGCCTCCTAAATAAAGCTAAATTAATTAATTAATTATTTTTGGAGGTTTTTGGACCTTCTTTGAACATATCCGAAGCATATCTCTTTATAAGATCTTATTTTATGTCTAGTAAAGTTTGTGAAATGTTCATGAAGCTTAGGAACTATTCTTTGATCTTCATCTAAGTTCATGAAATTTTCCTGCACTGCACTGAAGTGCTAGACTTTTCTGTAGCTCTTGGATCTTTCCTGCGGGTTTTGACGTAGGACTACGTCTTTAATTTCTATATGGGGGTACACTTTGTGAAAACCGAAAATGGAACATGTAACAAATTAAGAAAGATTTTGAACGTTAATAACTCAGCTGCCCCTGGTTCATTACTTTTATCACCAATCGATCATAAATACGGCTACGCATCGATAACAATGCCTCCGAATGTTGATTTTCGACAAGAAACTATTGAAAAACTGGTAAATGTCCAGCATTGTCCAAAAGCGTCGAATTAACTAAAAAATCCACCAATTACCTACAGGCATATGCTGCTTCCCCAGCACAGTCGTCGGAGAGTAGTAAGTAGACGAAACAAGTCGAAGTGGCATTCGCCTCCGATCTTCGGGCGCGTGCGAATAGTGAGGATGGAATTGCGTAATATTTTGCACACTCATCGCCATACTCAGAACCACACGCTCCCAACGACCACACCACTGTGTGGTGGTGTTCGGTCGTCGAAATTAGTAGCAGCAGTAGCAGTGCTTTCGACGTGTGGCGTTGAAAATTGTTCTCGAGTAACAACGAAAGGCTGCCTGCAAGCAGCGAGCTGCAGAGCCCACATAAGCAACCATCAAAGGAGGAAGAAGCTGCACCGCTATGCTAAGGATCGGAAATAGTAGCTCTTCGTGAGACGCTGCGGGTCGGTCATCTATGCCAAGCGTGTCACCCTCGCTCCAAACGACATACAGCTCGACAGCCTCATCCGTGTTGAACACCCAGCTCAAAATTACTCAACCATCACTACAAAACGGTCCTGTTCAGGGCCAACAAAAATTTGTTAAAGAGTATTATTTAGACTTTGGTCAAGGTCATCAGTTCCCGCAAGCAGCTAGCTATCAAGGCTCAACCTATCTATAGAAGGTGTGGAAGTGTAGGCCTGAATATATTGGTGCAATTGGTTTTTCCTCGGCTTTTATTCCGCACGATTCGTTTCTTTCGTTTAATCAATCATCTTTGTAGTGACGTCGAAAAAATTGTTTCAATCGGCGCTTACATATGAAATTTAATATGGATTATATAATTTTTTGTATGTTACCAAAATTTATGAAGTGGCAAACCAAAATGTTGAGATAATTTATTGATTATTGAAATATCACACTGTATACCATGAAAAAGCAGCCTGTTTGTGAGTTTTGGTTTTCAAGTAAGGAGTTATCATAAAAAACAAATCGCCAGCTGGTATTTCCCGGCGACTTTACAAATAAATAAAATCAAACAAAATCATCATGCAGAACTAGCTAGGATTTGTTTTACTTCATATTTCACAAAATTGCTTTCGAGAGTTAAGACATCGTCTCCCGCAAAGTTTACATTTTTCCCTCTACCAACACATACATCAGGGCTAGATAGATCTCCACAGGATCTATAGATTCCACGCTATTTCAAAAAACCAAAATGCACAGCATTACGAAAAGAGGTCAGGTTTCGACCAATAGCAGATAGATTTTAATTCTAAACAAGGCAAACGATTGGAAATTTATCTACCAATCTGCTAAAATGAACATTTATTTAATTTTCAATATGTCACTATTGAAAAATACCAAATGTCCAACTGTTGCAATGGTGATCAAAATTATCACCGAATGTCTGAAAACAGCGCATTCCCTAACACAGACTTAAAAATCGAATTCGATGCGGACCCACTGAACGGTGCTCATTCAATCATTTTGAATAACAAAAATGTTTTAGGAAATTATGGAATAATACGATATTATGATGGTATTTTGTATGTGTAAGGAACAAGACAAATTTTTAAAGTTTGTGTTTGACATAGGTCACTGGTTCATATCCGGCTCGAAGGACCAGGCAGCATCACAAGATGGCGGCGCTGCCATTCAACAACTGGCACAGCAACAGGCAGAATTCATTCGACTGATTTCTACCAGCTTCAACACGGCGGCCAACGCAAGCAGCAGTTCAACGGTTGTCGCCCATAATGCTTCTCCACACATTAACCTGCAAATTTAGCTTTGACAGAGCCACAATGAGCGATTTTCTGATCGCCTCTTCGCGAAGAGTGAAGAGTGAAGAGTGGGTGAGATAAATGACAAAATCGCTTATTGCGACTCTCATGCAGCAACATTGGCTGGTATTATGTGTCAAACACAAACTCCACAATCTTTTCTTGTTGCTTACACAAACAAAATATTATTATAATATCTTATTATTCCATAATTTTATAAAACATTTTTTTAGCCAAAATGAATGGAAGGAACCCTGACCGTAAGTGGTGGTGTCCAGTCCAGCAGCAGCAGGAGTGCTTTCAACAACAACAACAACGAAAGGCTGCCTGCAAGCAGCGAGCTGCAGAGCTCATATGAGTAACCATAGAGAAGGAGGAAGAAGTCCCACCGCTAGGCTAGGATCGGAATCAGTAGCTTGTCGTGCTCAGTTCAGCATTACTCAACCATCACTACAAAACGGTCCTTTTCAGGGCCACCAAAAATTTGTTAAGAGTATTATTTGGACATTTGTCAAGGTCATCAGTTCCCGCAAGCAGCTAGCTACCAAGGCTCAACCTGGTCTCTATAGAAGGTGTGGAATTGTAGGCCCGAATGAATTGGTGAGATTAATCATCGTCCGACCATTTTCCAGAAGACGCTGGTAGGAAGTGTTAAAAATCCATATAGAATTTGAGAGAAGTGGGAATAATTCGCTTTTGGTGTAAATTTAGTCCCCAGAAAGCCAATAAAATCAAATTTGTGAGAAAATTAGCTCTCACGAGTTCAATCTCTCGAAGTCCCTTCTTTTTTTACATATTCTTCACAAATGATACTTACCGCCCCGCGCCATTCATATCTAGATAGAGCTGGAATTAGGGCCTAACAGCTTTTGTAAACAATGACTTCTATCGATGATTTCTAGAAACTCAAGGCTCACCCACGCAAACCAACCTCCTCAGCGGGTAGGGAAAGACTTTCCCTATCCGATGGTTATGTTGGTCCGCATGGGCGTGCCTTTAGTTCCTAGAAATCATCGATAGAAGTCATTGTTTACAAAAGCT